TGTCCTGTCAAAATATATTTTTGCAGGTATTTGACAAATATATTTGAAGAAAATGCCATAAAATAAAAACTTTGAGGACGTCTGACCCCCTTTTTGCAACGAACTAGACGTCTGACGATTTACATACGTTATCTGTGACCTTCAAACAGATAATGTGCAAAATTTCTATAAATTTTGAGCTTTGAGAAAACAGTTTAGATGCTTCTTAAAATTACAACTTTGCCCGCGTCCCAGAGCCAGCTGTCCCGGAACTGTGAGTGCTGACTGTAAAGTCCATTCCAAAATAATTCGTTGACTCTTCAAGTATCAATAAAATGTTGATGATACCCTCAACCACAAACTTCGACTACCTGTGAGCAGGTCCAGGTTGATTTTATTTATTATACCTGCCTAGGTGAGATGTACATGTAAATGTGGGTGAATGTTTTAGTTAAATTATTTAGTCTTTGTGCAGAACTAGAGCTGTTATATTGACAAAAAAAATGTGGCGTCCATGGGCAAATGATGGTAGTATTGCAACCGGAAGTGGTATTTCAAAAAAAAAACATTTATCGCTAGATGCCAAGGAAATTGTGAGGAACGTTTATTTAACCCTTCTGCAGAGAGGCTATAATCATAATCAAAGTGTGAGTGAATCATCCGTTTTAACCAAAACTCCATTATCTACGGTTAAAGATATCGTAGCCAAACGCATCCAGCCAAGGAAGCAACGGTGTGACAGCGGCAAGTCAAGAAAGGTTGAAGAAGCGGATAAAGAGTTGATTCGTAGGAAAATTTATGATTTGTACAGTAAACAAATAATACCTACAATAGATTCTCTAAAAAAGGTACTTATAGAAGACGAAACTGATATATTATGTAGCAGAACAAGCCTTTGGAGAATTGTGAAAGCAATGGGTTTCAAATATCAAACCATTAATAAGAGGCAAGTGCTAATGGAATCCCAGCGATTACAAGCATGGCGTCGAGAATATTTAAGTTCCATAAAACAATATAGGGCAGAAAATCGTCCGATAATATATCTTGACGAAACATGGTTTGATACCCATGACACTCCCAAAAGAGGATGGAGCGACTCAACCTCCAAATGTCAAACCAAAGCACCCTCAAATAAAGGCCAGAGGATTACAATTTTGCATGCCGGATCAGAAAATGTTTTTGTTCCAAACTCTTTGCTGCTATCCGCAAAAAAAATAGCCAATTCATCATTAGATTATCCTCAAGATACCGATGCAAAATTATTTGAAGAATGGTTTCAGAATCGCCTTCTTCCGAACATACCAGAAAACAGTATAATTGTGATGGACAACGCTAGTTACCACAGCCGTCAAAAAAATAAAGTGCCCAATGCAAGTAATACAAAAGTAGAACTTCAAAAATATATGATGGAAAATGATATGTATTTCGAAGAAAATTATACAAAGAAAGATCTTTTAAACGTTTTGAAATCATATAATGTTAAAAAAGAATATATTTGTGACGATCTTGCTAGCGCTTGTGGTCATACAGTTTTGCGTCTTCCTCCATATTATTGTATTTTCAATCCAATAGAACATATCTGGCATGAATTGAAGGCAATGGTTAGGAGAGGAAACACCTCTCCTACACTTAGTACTGCTGTAATAGATTTAATTAGAAAATGTGTAGATAATATTCCAGTTCAAAGCTGGAAAAATTCTGTCAATCACGTTATAAAAGTTGAAGAAACCTATAATTCAATAGGTATTAATGTTAAGCCATTAATAATTAGTTTAGGCATAGATGAAGATGACAGTGACAGTGAAACGGAACTAAATATAGATTAGGTTTGGTTGAATTGTGTATTGTATTATATTGTATTAGATATTAAGTTTTGGTAATTATTAAGATAGTATAAGATTATAACATAAATAAATAATATTATGAAACGCCTTTTTCGTTTTCATTATAATGGGCACAAAATCCGTACCTGTAAACCTTTGAGTGGGTATTAAGGAACCCGGTACCTACATAAAAGAACCTGGTACCTACACAATAGAGGCTAATAGCTATCTAATTTATGGTAGGGTTTTATAGCCGTGAAGTCAACGAAATATTTTGGAATGGACTTTACACTAGCATTCTAGCACTAAAGTACGACCTATTTTGAAAATATCCGCCTTGCGAAAACTCTTGCATGTTTTTGGCGCCACCTCCTGGACTATTACTTTTGGACCTCGATTTCCTGAAATCTGGTTAACCAAATGTCAAAATAGTTACCGGCCATCAGATGTCGGTTCTATTGGTTTTTATCCGTAATTTCTGTCAATTATTTTTCATTTCATATTCGCGTTCCCCAAGTAACCAGAATTTTCAGTAACCATCTGTCAACCGCTGGGTTACTTTTTACTTTAGTTAACGTTTGGTTATATTCGGACCATAGCCTAAGGCTGTGGTCCGAATATAACCAGGGTTCTGGTTTTGTGTTCCGAAAGTAATCAAATTACTCTGGTTCCTGGAAAAGTGGTTACTTTTGGACTTCGGTTTCCTGAAATCTGGTTAACCAAATGTCAAAATAGTTACCGGCCATCGGATGTCGGTTCTGTTGATTTTATCTGTAATTTCTGTCAATTATTTTTTATTTCCCATTTGCGTTCCCCAAGTAACCGGAATTTTCAGTAACCATCTGTCAAGCGATTCGGTTGCTTTGGTTAACGTTTGGTTATATTCGGACCATAGCCTAAGCAGTTCATCTACAAGCCCACAAGAACAATTCTGAAAAGTCAGTGTCACCAATATATAGGTGACGTGGCTTGGCCCCCGAGGAAGTTTTCCCTATATGACCATGGCACGCAATGTGATAATGCCACACCCTACGAGGTAGTGAAGAAGGGGCTGAGGGTAAAACAAACAAACTTCGAGCTGAAATCAATTTGTGGTTTGATTTGCCCAAAGGTGCAAACACATAGATCTTGTAAGGATCGGGATTAGTTATAAAGTAAATTGGCCTGTTGAGAAACGGAATCGGAAATACTTGTGGAGGCCATGTGGAATGGCAAATGCTTCAGCAATCCTTCTAGCATGAGTCGTTTTGTTTGAGAACTTAAGCCACTATGAGTTATGAACATTAAAATCTCCCAAAAATATAATCTCGGAGTTCGGATGGATCTCCCGGATAGAATCAAATGAATTTGCCAGATTTTCAAATAGAAGTTCATACCTGGAGTATGATTTAATAATTAAACACAGAGGAGAGGTGACAAAAGTTATGGACTGTGCTGGCCTAAATAGTAAATAGTAATTTGCCAAGTTAGCAAAGTTCGTTGGTTAGCAATTTGATGTTTACTTTTAACAGCAATGCATTAGAAAACATGGTGGAAGCTCATTAATTTCAAATTTTATTTGCAAATTTGCACAACCCTTTCCTAAACTTTTTTACTTCTTGAATGCCGCCTATAATTAAATATGTATTCAATTAATAGTTTTCAAAGGACTATTCTCTGAGATATGGACTCCTAGTTGACTCTTAATCGATTTTTGGAAGTTACAAAGTCGTAACCTACTCTGGTAGTTCAGATATGTCAAATGCTTGAGAAGATATAGTCTGTGAAGTATTTTGCTATACATATGATTTCATCATAACACAATGGTACTTATATCTTTTAGCGTCTCTAATATTTTCTGTGAAATTCTTCATCTGAGGAAGTCATCTGATTCTAAATGACGTCAGAAATGCTTTAGGGTGCGTTCACTTTGGGTTTATGATCAGACGAAAATGTGAATAATTGCATTCAGCCTATTGCAATTGGAAGGTCAGCTTCGACAAGACCTTGAGATAAAACGGCGCCAATTGCATAGTTTATCGCATCTGTTGTCAACAAAAAAGGTCAGGTTGTTGCAACATGGGGTCATTTATTAATAAGTTTTTACTAGTTTTAAAACTATTAATAAATTCTGCATTGGATATAGTTTTTTTTTTTTTTTTTTTTAAACAAGAGATAAGTTTTGTCAATTTTGCAAAATTTCTTATGAATTTTCGGTGATAACCTACTAATCCTACAATTGCCATTATTTTCTTTGGATTTGGTTTAATTCCATTTTTCGTTTTATATGTGAAAAATTGAACTGTTTTAGTCTTTCAAATTTTGTACGTGTTCTTGAAGAGAAGTGTAAGAAATTATTACATCATCCATGTATACTAGATTAATTCTATTCTGTAATCTTAGTGATACATTGTCCATTACTCTTTGGAATGTGTCTGGTGTGTTCCTTAGTCCAAAGGGCATTCTGTTTAATTAGTAATGTCCATTTTTATCATTAAATATGGGTTTTCCATTTGATGAAACCCAACAAAGGCTAAATCTAGCATCGTAAAATAATTACTACGACCAAGTTCGTCTAATTCATCCGTATAATATTAGAAAATGGGTATCTATCATCGATTGTCTTCTCTTCTCTTCTCGTTTATTTTTCGCTGATCTACGACCATTTACCATTTTTGAATGCCTGCGGCACCTTGTTTTCATGTTTGACTTGATTTGTAAATGTCAATTTATCATTTGGTTTATAGAAGATTTCAGGAAAAGCTTTAAAGTGTTTTAAAGCACAATCTCTGCCAAGTTAATATGTAATACGAGCGTATAATAGGCTTATTCATTAAGTTGTGTATTTTTACAGATACTATTTTATTCATGACTAGTGTTGTTGATTTGTTGAGGAAATATAATATGTTCCATTGTTTATTATGCGGAGTAAGAATCACAACACCGTCAGCTATATTTGTATTGAAATAACATACTTGGATCGAGTTACTTGGTATCTAGAAATTCTGATTCTCGGAATCGGTTCTATGTTGAAATGAAATTGTTGTTTAATTTTTAGAAGGAATACTATAATTTTGTAAAATTGGGACAATTATCAACAAGAAGACCCTCGATCTGAAATCTTATAAAATAATTATTGAAAATTGCTTGCTTTTTTACATGATAGAATATGCAATGGTTTTATGCTTTGTTTTGTAAAAATACCTAATTTCTTTCTAGCTTTTCCTAGCCAAACGTTTGTGTTTACTCGCCCAAGAATACAAGGATCTAGAAACGTTCAACAGACTCCTAACTGTAAAATCCAGAAGGCCTTTTATGATAAGCAGCTTCCAATGGATATTAAATCACGACGAAGATCTCATTAGCACGCTGCTGCATCAATTTGAACACTACCTCTGTTCATGTAACACAAGAAAATCTGACTTGAATATGATTGAAATGGGCCTAAGGATAGGCAGTTTTCTTAATGACGGTGGATGGTATGAGTTTAGTATAAAGTTTCTGGAAATTGCGGAACTGGTTCTATGGAAAAAATATGATGCTTGCGTACTGGCCAGGGATAAAAATATTTTACTTCAGTTTACGGAATGTTACAGATTGTAAGTGGGGTGTTTATAATTTATTCTATAAAAAAAAACTTGTTATTTCAGAAAATTGTATGCACAGTCCATGTATTGTCAATTTCCCAGAGCTATGACAACATTTGAACAGGCTCAAGCATTTTTAAAATTAATCGAAGCAGAAACTGATTGTAATTCCTTATTGACGGGAATGTATTGTTGTTTTTCCGTCTATTATTTTGCCATGAGCAATTTCAATGAGGTAATAGTTTTTTCTATGTGATTAATCCAATTAATTTTATGATTTCAGTCTTACAAATGGGCTATAAAAGCATTGGAACTACTACCCAAAGGCGTAACAAACAAAACAATGTTGGATGTATTGAGGCAAGCTTCCAAAGCTTGCGTAGCAAAACAGAGACTCTTGCAAGCCCGCTTATTAATTAGACAAGCGATGAATTTAGGGAAAAAAATAAATTCGCCGACTCTCCCCGATGTTCTAGCGGACTATGGATTTTTCCTGCTGAATTCCGATTTGGTCCCAGAAAGTGTAATAGTATATCATAAAGTTTTGTGCGAACGCAAACGTGTTTTTGAAAGCAACAATATCCACATTGCTTTAGCTCATGAAGATTTGGCATACTCATTATATGTTAGAGAATACAGCTCTGGTGATTTTAATAAGGCTAAAGACCATGCTGAAATTTCAATTAAAATAATGGAAAAAGTCCTACCAAAAGAGCATTTACTTCTAGCATCTGTCAAACGTGTTAAAGCGTTGATTTTAGAAGAAATTGCCTTAGACGAAAACGGTAATGATGAAGGAAGTCACAATCGATGGTTAGATGTTGCTGAAGAATTGCACATAACTGCATGGAGATTGAGTCAATCAGCTTTTGGTGAAAAAAATGTACAAACTGCCAAACATTATGGAAATTTGGGACGTTTATATCAAAGCATGAATCGGCTTGAAGAAGCGGAAAAAATGCATTTAAAAGCTATAGAAATAAAAGAAGAGCTTCTAGGTCCAAATGATTACGAAGTGGGTTTGAGCATAGGCCATTTAGCATCCTTATACAACTATCACATGAAAAAATATTCTGCAGCCGAAGACCTCTATCTTAGGTCTATTGAAATTAATTTAAAAATATTTGGGCCTTCATATTCAGGCTTAGAATATGACTATAGAGGCCTACTTCATATATACGAAAAACTAGCTAAACCATTGAAGTTTCACTATTGGAGTACCAAATTGAGAGAATGGAAGGTTCTTAGAGAAAAAAGGAAATGTTTAGACGTCGATTTAATATTAGAAGATAATCCTCCGGACAAAATCGATTTATTGGAACCGAAGGAAATTTTGAAGAATTTTCACGAGTTTGAGGAACAACAGCAACAATTGAAGGAAAATGGAGCCAAACTGGCTAATGAATTTCCGCCCTATACATTAATAGATTCAGATGAATTGGACTGAAGATGATGTAAAATGTACATATATTATTTTTTTATAAATGATACAGCATCAATTAGAATATGGAGCAATTTAGGTAGATAGCTATTTTCATGCCAGAAAAATGAAGAAGATACCTAACAGTGTAACGTTGAGCTTTAGTTTGTATAGAGAGATAATAATTAATGTTGAATAAAAAAAAGCCTGCAAAGTTTAAAGTGCTTTTATTTTGTCCTAACAATGCAAGCAAACTAAAGTATTCCAAAGTGTTCCCTACAACCGTGATATGGTATTATTTTCAGTAAAAATACTCATTGTTGGGTACCTGTCGTTTAGCCGAGATTGCCTTACCTGTTTGATATCTATTTTTTTGTGAGATTCTATGTATTTTTACAGTGGTTGTTGTATTTTTGTAGATATTGTACGATGTTAGTATAGTCTATCCTACATTCTTTCAAGGCCCTTAAGATTGGGCTCATTTCGACCGTATCAAAGACTTTTTGGAAATGTACAAATATCAATTGTAGTGGTCTATTTTATTCAATGGTCTTCTCAATGAGTGTCTTAAGGCATTATAATTGGTCCATTTGTCCCATATCCGGAAGCCAGTCTGGTCTATTGTTGGATAAAAATCGAGCTTCGCTTCTAATCTTGAAGTTATTACGGGTGTACAGTTTATAGATTTGATTTAAGAGGCTGATATAGGTCTATAATTGTTAAGCTGCGTTATGTCCCATTTTTTGTCGAGGATAGTAATTGCATTGCTTCATTTAGATGGGATCTCTTGGTTGAGTAGACATAGGTCAAAAAGCTTTTGTATCTTTTCTATTAACACAGATCCTTCTTTATATTTTTAGCTTCTGCCACTATATACTTTGTCTTCCGCAGGCGCTTTGTTGTTTTTTTCATTTTCTTCAGGGCATAGTTAATTTAATTTCCTCTATGTGATATCGGTAATGTCTTCTGATCCATCTTTCGTTTTGTATTTTGTGTAGATTATGACTTCTTAGGTCGGCCTATTTTTATTTGTGAACAGTTCTTTGTAAAATTCTTCTATGATCTTTATTATTTGTTCTCTATTTAATGGTATGTTTTCTTCCTTGTCTTTGAGTTGGAAAATTTCTTTTTTACCGTTTGCTAGTTGTCTTCTCAATACTTTTAAGCTTTTGTTCTATTGTTTGTAGTACTTTGTCATGTCTGTATTTCCTGATGTGTTTGCCTTTGATATGTCTTTGTTAATTTCTCTCAGTTTTTGTTGGTCTAAATTTGATTTTCCCTTAAGTGCTCTACGTTCTTCCATTTTTGTTTGGGTTTCTGGGCTGATTTTTTCTTATTTAGAGTTTTTTGGGCAGTACTTGTCTCGTGCATCCATCAGTGTTTCAATTATGTTTTCATTTAATAATCATCTATACTTTGTGTTATTGCTTTATTTTTCAAGGAGTTTTCGATATTATGTTTTTGGAAATTTCTGATTTCCTCTGGGTGCGTCCATATGTTGTGGGAGTGTTTTTCTTGATCAGTCTGGTTCGTTCATTTTCGAGGTATTTTCGGAGAGTGGCTTTTAATACGATGCGGTGGCCACTTTCAGTAGCAAATCTGTGTATAACTGACACGTCTTTGAAAATCTGTTCTTTATCTGTCACAACTGAGGAGAGAATCGACTCCTCCTACCCACCGTTTTTACGTCAGTGTTTGTATTATAGCTCCCTGATGCCTTTGTTCTCGTTTTCCTATGCTCTTTCCGACTTCTCCAATGTCCTTCTGTTTCACGTTGTATCTATCTCTATACTTGTCTGGCTGTATACCTCCAGGTCCTCTGCTTTGAGATTTGCCAGTTAGGTCGGCCTTCCTACTGCTCCTTGGATTTGTTTGTGCGATAGTGACCTTTTTTCCATTGGAATTTTATTCCTGTTCCATTGTCGATATATTCCTCTGTATAGGTACCAGGTAAAGGTACGTAATTAAGACAGTAGGTAAATAAAGCCGATCACAGACGCTACGTATGTTTGGCGAATAGGCGAATCTTCGTCATACGCATGAATATTCGCCTGGTCTTCCACACCGCGTGATGGTATGGCGAAGGTTTGGCTTGAAAATTGTTCGGCGAAGCAAAAATCAACTTAGTGTAGCACCGCTACTGACAAAACACTATGCATATACCCCCTTTTTAATCTCGAAGCGCCTGGGAGCAGTGCGAAGTCACACGTAGTGGAGTTCGCCTCTACTTCGTCTTCCTTTGCTTCGCGTCAGTTTACCGACAGTTGGCGGGAAAATGACGAAGGACGAATATTCGCCAAAGTTACCTTCCCATATGCTACGCGAATAAGTCCGAATGTTCGCCGAATACACGTAACGTCTGGGACTGGCTTCAGGCTTGATAATCTAGGTACAAAGAATTATACACTTTCAGCAAAAATTGAAATGGACAGAAAAGGAGCTCGGTAAGCAAGAATACTATAGGGAAAGACTGAAGAGATTACAAGGGTCTTTCAAACGAGGCGTTTCAGGAAAAAAGTTACCAATTTACTCTACCAGTCTACAGCTACCAATTTACGCTACATCTATACAAAGTAGTACCTACAAGATTTACGGAAACTTTGTTTCAACACAGCAGGAAACCGTACAATGTACTGTCATGATTCTGCGCAAAGCCTGAAATTTGTGCCTAGAAGCTTAGCATCCGAAATTCGTATACAGAGTGGTTTCCAAACTGTTCACAGGATGGGTTTGACGTATATTGGAAAAGACCTATAGTAAATCTATGACCGCAAACTAATTCCACCCACACTTACGATTACGAAGGAAATCCACGCCTATAAGAAAATTCTGCACCTACAAAGAAACCGCATCATTAACGTTCCACCTACAAAGTTGCGCTACAGCTGTACCGGGTATCCCACCCGAAACCGAATCGATTTATATGTAAGTGAGACACTCTGTAAATGATTTCATATATTTGGATTTTACCTAAAATTCTGAGCAGATTTTAATGTGATATTGGTACAGGGTTATTGGTTATAAATGTCACCCCCCTCTATCTTTTTTATTTGACATTTTAGAAAAAAGTGTCTCAAATAAAAAATATATGGTTGAAATTAAATTTTTTGAAAAACTCACTTTCGCATATACAGGATGTTTCAGAAAAGCTGGTCGGGCTCCAAATTTCTTATTTCAAATGGAATACCCTATATATTATTGGATATTCGAATTCCACGTAAAATTCTGAGCAGATTTTATGTGATATACCCTATGCCCTATACCTAAGTTCAACCGTTTCGGAAATATTGACAATTGAAAATTGACTTTTTTGCAAATTTGACAGGCTGTAAGTCCTAAACGGTTTATTCTAGAGCAAAACCGATTTTACATTTTTGTCTTATATATTTTCATAAATTATCAGTTGATACCAATCTTTGACACCAACTTTGAAATTAATCCATGATTGGAAATTCCAATTAAATTTAATCTCCGGTTAAATTCAAAGTTGGTGTCAAATGATAACTTCTGAAAATCTTAGAAAAAAAATGTAAGATCGGTTTTGCTCAAAAGTTAACTGTTTAGGTTTCACAGCCTGTCAAATTTGCAAAAAAGTCAATTTTCAACTGTCAATATTTCCAAAACAGTTGAACTTAGGTATAGGGTATATCCCATAAAATCTGTTCAGAATTTGACGTAGAATTCGAATATCCAATAATATACAGGGTATTTCATTTTAAATAAGAAATTTGGAGCTTGATCAGCTTTTCTGAAACACCCTGTATATGCGAAAGTGAGTTGTTCAAAAAATTTAATTTCAACCATAAAACTTATATTTGAGACACTTTTTTCTAAAATGTCAGATAAAAAAGATAGAGGGTGGTGACATTTATAACCAATAACCTTGTACCCTTTACCTAAGTTCAACTGTTTTAGAAATATTGATATATCTGTTAACCCAAGAGAATTTAATTGGAATTTTTAATCACGGATTAAATTCAAAGTTGGTGTCAAATGATAGTTTATGAAAATCTAAGACAGGAATGCATAATCGGTTTTTCTCTAAAATTAACCGTTTAGGCTTTACAGCCTGTCAAAGTTGCAAAAAGTCACTGTCAATATTTCGAAAACTGTTGAACTTAGGTATGAGGTATATCACATGATATCTGCTCAGATTTTTACGTAGAATCCAAATATGCAATCATATACAGGGTGTCTCATTTAAAATAAAAAGTTGACGTCTACTTCCGGTATAGCCGTGTAGTGCCACCATCTTGAAAATATTTTAGCCGAGTTGCCCTCATAGGCAATCCAAACCACGTGACACTCAAGATGGCGTGGCGGCCACACATGGGCCAAAAAACGCAAAAAAAATATCTAGTTTTTGCCTGATTTAATAGTTCAGGTGCCTAGTCAACAAATCTTTTGTTAAATAATCAAAGTTGCAAGCAAAACTCTAAGTAAAATAATTTAAAATACGCATAAAAACATATTCAAAACAAACTGGCTTGGCCACCACGCCATATTGTATTTTTCTTTTCGACAGATGGATTGGATTGCCTTAAGTGACATTCTAGCCTAAACTGTGTTTTTTTTTAAAGATAAAAGTCAAAATGACATTATGTTGGCAATACAATGTAAAATTGTCAATGTTTTCAATTGACCTTTTGTTTGGACGCCATATTGCGATGCGCGAACATAGTTGCCAACAGTAGAAAAAAAAATTACTAGCGTTCTGTCAACTTTAAAATCCAAAGTTAGTATATAAATTACATTTAAAATTTAAATTTGCCGCCTATTACGAATGTTTTTGGAAAGAAACGCCATCAATTTTAGCTTGTATTGGGCAGAATAGAAATAATAAAATATCTAGTTGACAGCCCGCTAGTAATTTTTGGTTTTCTTGTTTTGGCAACTATGTTCGCGCACCGCAATATGGCGTCGAAACAAATGGTCGATTTTTTTATGTAGAAAAGGCTTGTGTTGCCAACATAGTTACTAAATTTTTGACTTGGGGAATTATCTTTAAAAAAAAAACAGACTTTACTAAAGTCTGTTTTTTTTTTTAAAGATAAAAGTCAAAATGACATTATGCTGGCAAGACAATTTTATTTCTCGAAACGTTTAGAACTGCTCCTGTAGTGCAAACAAAATTTGAATATCCTTAAAATTAACAAAGTTAGAGGAGTAGAAAGACTAATATGTGACGTCATTCAGTAGTATTGCCATAAACCAATGTGAGTAAGACAGAGAGGGCAACATCATTTTTAAAAATTTATAAAGATTGTATTTTTGAATAGATTCGAAAAATTAGGGAATCCAAATCACGTGACTTTTGCCCAAGGACGATACACACTACTTGACTACTACTAGTAGGTACTACTACAGGATGAGTCGATGGGATGGCCTATCCCACCCTATCCTCATAAGACCTGTGTGTAACAAATTCCCCCCCAACGCGTCGCTTCCAGCGCCAAATTTTAGGGGCGCCAAAAATTTCAAAATTTAGGTCACTGATTATTTCGTTAATTAATTTTAAAAGTTATATAAATATACAAAGTGTCTCACGACGTTCTACCCAGGTGATTACTTCGGGACGCGTAATTTATTGTAATTGAACTTTCAAAGATCTGGACTCGATCTGGGTAACTTTTTGTGCCGTCGCTGCGCCCGCTTCTACATGTGTCATCCAATTTTACCACTTTCGCTTCAGTTTCGGTCAAGTCAAGTGACGACAACTTTAGAATCTTAACACGTTGAAAGACAATAAATATTTCTGTAGGATACCAATTTCTGCGGTCTGGTCTGGGAATGTAAATAAATTTCAAATGTGACACTACGGCGCTGATATTCGAATGTATTGTGACAGTGGCGATTGGAGTCACAATCTGCGTGTGGCTAAATTCAGCTGGTGTAGGCACCGTGGTGGAATGGTGGAACAAGCAGTGTTGTTAAATTAAACAGGGTTTGACAAGCTGTGGTTTGGCATTGGCATTAGTGAATTTTAATCACCGCATCCGTGGCGGTGCACCATTTTGGTGAATTTAGCAACACGCGGGTTAAGTATATAGTTGTATGGCAGATACAAACGCTGAACGGCGTCTTGTCCAATCCATCTGAAAACGCATATCAGCGTTGTGTCATATCACAACTTCAGGAAATGACTCTGATTTGCGTCTCTGTCCTTATATTATAGTATATAATGGCATTTTACGTTGGAAAATTAAATTACCAAATCGGCAATGCCATATTTGTTAAGGCTTTGTTAAAGAAAATCACACAAAATTACAAAGTGGAGCAGAACATTCGATGACGCGTTCCGAAGTTATCACCTGGGTAAAACCTTGTGGGACACCCTGTATATTTCGACAATTTGGTGAACGTTAACTAACTCGTTTTTTGCAGTTTTTTGTTTTTCGATGAGAAAAGTCTTTTTTTTTCAATAGGTATAGGTACGTGAAATCACTCAAATATGATTAGTTTGGCGAAGGGCTATTCCAACCTTCTTACTACTTTATTGCGTAGGCAGCATGATTGGCAGCATGTTACTGACGCTGACGACTTTAATTATGACGTCGGAAATGGTAACACACCAATATGGCGGCGATTATTAAAAACGAAGCCGTTAAGCATTCCCTGCTGTAGATTGGGTGTGTATCATCCTTGACTTTCGCCAACCAGCCGACATTTTGAAATTTTTATGAGGTTAGAATACGGGTTTTTGAAGGGGTTTTACATGTCAACAATCTCAGAAAAGTATCAATCGTTCTTATGAGAACGCTGGTCCCTGAGGTCGGGGATTCTAAAATCACGATTCGACATACGACTCGATAGCGAGACGATTTTTCCGACGATTCTAGGTTAGAAATCTCATTGGAATTATACCTTTCGACACGACAAGGCCGGTATCGTTGTCGAGTCGTGTGTCGAATCGTGATTTTAGAATCTCGGCCCTCTGGTTTCAAGAATTAGACTATCCAAAACACGTGACACAAATATGGCCGACAAGAGGCATACAAACATTTGACACAAACGCAAACCATAACGTCATTAGGTTATGTCAATAATGATGATAATAAGTACTCATTTTCTATTGTGTGCGTCTCAATTTTTGGCCGTTTCTACCCAATTACTGAATCCCTATTGTTTGGGCAAGATTGCTCTACCTACATTTCACTTGGACACCCAGGAGTGGATGGTGCAGGTGAACTTCCTTGATAGACATAAATTGCTTTCTCTGTCTCTGTTTCAGCAGTCAAAAAACACTGATGATACCATATTTCATCTCCTGGATGAGCTGTATTAGAAGATAAATGACGAAGAAGTGGCCGCGGTAGTTTTTTGTGACCTGAAAAAAGCTTTCGATTGTGTCTGTCATGAAGTACTGCTTCTAGGGGTTCAGTACTTCAGAGGGGTTGGATATCACTGCAGAAGTGACCTAGGGATCTGTTCTATTTCTAACATTAATAAAAATACGAGTAAAAAGAACGAGTATCAAAACACAAATGAACAATGAGCACTATTTTTTTGAAAAAAATTTCATGACACATTGAATGACACATAAAAAAAGGGTTTGTGTGCCTCTTGGCGGCCATTTTAATTCAAGTTTGACAGCATCTTGGATAGTTCAATAAGTAGTCTGAAGATGCATAAACCGGGCCTAATCTTATAAATTATTGTTATTTCATTAAAGTTCCCGATTCAAACTTACAGCTACAAAATTACCTTTACTTTACAGCTACGAAATTACTCTACAGTCACAAAGTTACCCTACACTACAGTGGCTAAATAAACCTTTACATACAGTGGCGACAATAGAGGTCCCGCCGCCATCTTGTTCCCAACCTCTTGTTACTTTTAAATATTGATATATAAGATTTCAATGAACATCTTATCGTAAAAAATTGAAATTGGACGTATTTGATGACCATTATTAGGTCCATCAAATACGTTTTTTCCATGATTTATGATGGATGTTCACCTAAATCCCATATATTCATATTTAAAAGTAACAAGAGGTTGGGAACAAGATGGCGGCGTTTTCAATATAAATATATGGGATTTTAGAACCAATCAGAAATGAGACAGCAATTGTCGCCACTGTGGGTAATAGAGTCACTGTACCCTACACAACCACAAACTGTGCAACCTCAAAGTTACTCTACAGCCACAAAGTTACTCTACAGACAAAAAGTTACTCTAGAGTAGAACATTCACTCTAGAGAGGAACATTAACTCTACAGTGAAAAATTAGCTCTAGTGGAAAAGTAACTCTATATCCGCAAAGAAATTCTATATCACACTTTGTACAAAGGAATAAGGAATTTCAAACCTAACATGGCAACTCTCTCTTTTTATCTCCATTCGTTCAAAATCTATAAAATAAGGTTGGCAACACCGAAAAGTACAGTGGCTAAATAAACCTTTACATACAGTGGCGACAATAGAGGTCCCGCCGCCATCTTGTTCCCAACCTCTTGTTACTTTTAAATATTAATATATAGGATTTAAATGGACATCTATCATGAAAAATTGAAATCCACGTATTTGATGACCATTATTAGGTCCATAAAATACGTTGTTTTCCATGATTTATGATGGATGTTCACCTAAATCCCATATATTCATATTTAAAAGTAACAAGGGGTTGGGAACAAGATGGCGGTGTTCTCAATATAAATATATGGGATTTTAGAACCAATCAAAAATGAGACAGCAATTGTCGCCACTGTGGCTTATAGAGTCACTGTACCGAAAAGGACAGGCAAAAATGCAACAATGAACACACCTTTCATTTGAAACTAAAAATAAACAAACGGGACGTCATCTCGAGTCTCACAGACCTTAAATTATTTATCATTTTTTTATTTTAATCAGTACCCCAGTAAGTACCGCTATTTTAGCTTTTCACCGTATTTACGCTGCTTTAGAACTTTGGACTTTGGTTTCTCTTTCTGTTTTTAATCTTCCACAAGTCGATTAGGGAGTGAGTTTAGTCCATCGCGGAGCTTACAAACCGAAAAGTTTAATTTATAAATTTTAATTTTGGTAAACAAACAGGGTCTTCATTTTATCAATAATGATTAATACAGGGTAAGTGAAACTACCGTATTTTTTTCTTTGAATACTTATTTAATACAAATGAATGAGTACTTAGGTATTTCTAATATTTTTGAGTAACCAGAACCACTTTATGATTATAGCAAAATACTAAAAAGGTACTAATTCTAACAGCAACTAGATCAAAAGACATCAAAGATTGATGGAATTTTCTTAAAATCTACCCTTAAGTCATTTAACGCTTAAGTTAAAGGGCATAGTTTCCCTATACCTATATTGGTCACAAATAAAACCGTGAAAAATAGATGACCTGGCAAGAATTCTCAAAGATTAATTATCACTTAACTCAGCAATTTCAGTCAAAGTTATACGATATAATATTTTGAGATTATAGAATGTATAAAACGGGCCCAAAGTAGGTTTCTATAAAGCTTCAAGTAAATATTTTCAGAAAAAAAAAGTCGAAACAGTGAATTTTGTTGTTGAGTACTGAGTTGCTAAATTGCCTATAATTTGATTGTTTTCCCTCTTTTCAGTGACAACAACAAACATTTAAATTCTTTAATTAATGTGCAAAGTTTGAAATCACTGATTAGACTTTGAACGTTGCACAATAATAATAATGAATAATTGTTTAAAATTTCATATAAAAACAAAATTGCAAATTGCCATTTGAATATTATGGTATAAAATTATCAGATTAGTAAAAAAGTGTAAAATAAATCGAATTCTTTATTATTTATGTTATTATATTTTTAGAAATGTTTACTTAAGTAGGTATGTCCTCTGGTAGGTCAAAACATAAAAAAAGCAGATAAAACCATGCAAATACAAAATACAATCAGAATGATTAAAAAAAAAGGTTATTTGCATAAAATGAATTATTTATATTTAGGAATTTCTTTAATTCTACTATATAAAACTTAAATATTTGTATAATACCTCTGTACCTTTGGGTGACATCAATCTTTCTCATTTTAATATACCAATCTCATCAATTTATGAAAGATTATCAAGTTTGGATATAAATAAAGGACCTGGTCTGGATGGTCTCCCAGCAAACCTTATCAAATATTGTAGTTTCAGCTTTTCAAGACCACTTCATATTATCTTCAATCTTTCCCTAAAGTCTGGAATTTTTCCAACCTACTGGAGAATAAGCTTCATTACCCCTATACTAAAATCAGGTGACAATTCTCAGGTCAATAATTACAGGCCTATCAGTATTTTGAGTTGTATTCCAAAATAATCAACCATCCTAGGACCTTTGATTTTCACTTGTGTAAACACTGTACTGTGTATTTTTAAGCACCAATAAACAATTCTATTCTATTCTATTCTATTCCTTTTTTTTCAGTTATACATGTAAACCCCATGTAAACCCCAACTTTCTCCTCTATGACTTTTCTCGGAAATGGCACGTATGCGCGCAGGCGACTCGCAAACATGTCGATCTGACATAGCTATGTTTCCTGATACATGTAAATCTAATTTTACGAATAATGTTTGATTTATATGTGTAATTCACGGAAATCAACTTAGCGGACAAAAATAATGGTAAATTGGAGGAGTCCGATACCCCCAAAATGTCGATCTGACGAGGTTATGTTTCCTGATACATACATATATGTCGGACAAAAGTAAGTCTTGATCAAATAATGTTTTCTGAATGCTAAATAAGTCTTGTCCGACAAGTCCGACAGGAAATAAAGTTAAGACTAGAAGAAGAAGAATTTGGAATAACTGACTGATAATAGATCGATGGGAAAAAGAAAGCGCCTTATATATTATATAATGATCACGTTATATTGCATGCTCATGCTGATTTGAATGACAATTTTTGAAGTTTCAGGATATGATGAACACAAATTCAAATTCTGGTAACTAGAGAGAGTGACCCATGCTTAAACCAATGTCTTGAAACTTGACGTCATCATTTCTGATTTGAAAATGTTAATACAAAAGGAGTCAAGATTTGTTTCTGACTTGAAAAGGAACTTCTTATTTGTAATTTGTACATGAAATTGACGTATTAGCAATCGACGTTCGTTTTTGTTGGTAATTTTTTGTTTCATCTGATTCGTAATTGATAAATAAGGATGGAATTACATATTCTAAATGGGTATTAAAAATACTATAGCTTAGGTATAAATTATTATTAGGTAAAGAATTTTATTTTTAATAATTTTAAAACTTTTCAATATTTTTCATAAGTTAAAGTAGTCTATAGTACATTAATTACCGATTACAATAAAATGTATCTTTGCTGTAAATATTTTTTCGATTATGTATTATTTTTTGAAGTTTTTGCCATTTTTTTTGTCGGACACACATTTATTTACAATGGCCGAGTTCGTTTTTGTCATCTTTTTCGTCGATTTCCTCCGAAATTTTGACAGGCACGTAACTAGATAAGACAGTTTCAAGTTACAAATCACGTCCCTGTCAAAATTTCGGAGGAAATCGACGAAAAAGATGACAAAAACGAACTTGGCCAATATAGAGCTAATTAAAGATAGAATTTTTTTTTAATGAGACTTACATGTATCAGGAAACTGACCTCGTCAGAGCGACATTTTGGAGGTATCGGACTCCCCCAATTCGCCATTATTTTTGTCGGCCACGTTGATTTCCGTGATTTAGACATAAAAATCAAACATTATTCGTAAAATTACATTTACATGTATCAAGAAACATGACCTCGTCAGATCGACATTTTGGGGGTGTCGGACTCCCCCAATTTGCCATTATTTTTGTCGGCCAAGTTGATTTCCGTGATTTACACATATAAATCGAATAGCCTCGCATAGAGGTAAGTAACACCCTGTTTAGCATTTGGCAATCCGTTCGACAACGGTTCGGTTTTTTAAATGTAACACCCGTGGTTGCATGGTTGTGCGCTTTATCGGGTGTTACTTACCCTCGGTATTAGATAAGCCTATTTACTATTACCATCTTGTAAATAATTATTTTAGGGCATTGAAATTTTAAAACATGAGTATATAAGTGCAAAATATAATTAATATTGTTATATTGATATAAATTATACTATGCGTTCGTAATTTAGCAGATAAAAACAATAAAACAGTGAATATTTCTCGAAAAACCTCAGACACTAATTTTAATTTAGGAGAACGTCTTTTTCACTATTTGTATAGTTGTGGTAGATCGAAAAATTCAAAAAGAAGGGCAGGTTCACATTTTTAAATAACACACTGTATATGACTTTTTTTTATTTGTTTTTTTTTTTTTTGTAAAATAACAAGGAATTTAATAATATATAGGGTGGGCTCAAAAAAAACGGAATTTTATTTTTGATCTGTAATTTTTGTTGTTGTTGACCAATTTCCTATTGTTTTGGCCTGTTTGGAAAAGAATCTAACAGAGCATAACAGAATAGACTACAAAAGATTCAGAACAATTGTGTACGATAGGTATATATTGAACCACAGATTGAACATAAATAGACGAGAACATGTTACTCCATAAGCCGCGTCCACAGTAGTAAAAATTTACGTTGTGCGTGGCATTCGGCACAAATTTGTGTGTGCGATACAAATTCATACGAGTGTGGATCTGTTCGCCACATACGGACGCATGCAAAAATTTTCGCGGCATTCACCGCACGCGATCCGCGGCTTGTCGGTTTTTTTCAAGACATCAAAGAGATTTGCGGCAACATCGTTCTAGTGTGGACGCATTTTTTCGCGAACGAAACAAATAACCAAAAACACGCAACGCGCACACTGAAATAAAACAGGCACACACGCGTTGAGCAAGAACGGACGCGCACAACACAAATATTTATGTCAGTCAAGATGTCAAATTTGCGTCGCAAAAATTTGTGGCGAATCCCGAATTCAACGCAACGCATTTATTCACTAATCTGGACGCAGCTTCACATTACTAACAGTGAAATGCTCAAGATGAAAGAAAGAAGATTTTTCTCTTCTCTTACTTGGGCCTACATGTGTACATGATACCAAAAGGAAATACAAAAAGTAGGGCCTATAAGCAAGAATTAACGAGCAAATTAATAAAATACAGAAAGTTTGAAACATAAAAAACTAGTAGATATATCTATACTACTATGTATCTAATAAAGGCATTACTTTTAAACATTATGTGAATGCAAATCTGTCCAGGGTAAGTAACACCTGATAGAGAAAATCTCCGTTGCGATATCAGGTGTTACATTCAAACTTGCGAACGGGAGCCAAATGGGTGTTACTTACCTCCATGCGTCCGGGAGGCAGTGAAATTTTTTAGCACTTATTTTCCCAGTTGGTGTCTATTAAATAGTTTGTTCTCTTGGTGATACAAAACAAGAATATTTGAGTTTCGCAAAAATTTTCGGATGGGTTCACTAGATCAATGAAAAATACAAGTAAACTTATTTTCCCAGTCATAAATATATCACATCCACTTCAGTAGAACATAAAGTATATGAACATAGCAATTTGGCTTATCTCAGATAGTGGAAAGTTAGTCTGGTTGAAGTTTTTCGGATCTTCAATTTTCCACTTGCCAGACATATCCATACTCACAGATTAGCTGGACTATTTTTTTAAGTAACTTCAGTATACTTCGTGTTAGTTGACTTAGTTTTATCACTGAAAGAAAAAGGGCTGTGCATTCGTAAGCTCTAACGCATTTTGCGCCTCAACCCATCGGAAAACCCCCCCTAAAAATATATGAATTTTGCTTAGAATTACTAACCCTACAATTCTATCCATGTTTCGTGATTGGGAAAATAAGTACCGAAAATCGTCACTGCCTCCTAGACTAGAACATTATTCGTAAAATTAGATTTACATGTGTTAGGAAACATAGCTACGTCAGATCGACATGTTTGCGAATCGCCTGCGCGCATGCGTGTCATTTCCGAGAAAAGTTGTAGAGAAAAAAGTTGTCGGACGGTAAGCAAGCCACTCTCAAAGTATGGGGTTTATATGTATAAGTGAAAAAAAGGTCCTTGGATGGTTGATTAAAAGCTTTTGAAGACGTCTGTGACTATTTGTCTGCTGGTCTGA